CCCTGCAAAAGCCGCGAGTCCCGAACCAGGAAGCAGAATCCCAAAATCCTAAGTCCCTGAACCCCTGAACCCCTGAACCCCTGAACCCCTGAACCCCTGAACCCCTGAACCCCTGAACCCCTGAACCCCTGAACCCCTAAACCACTAAACCCTCAACCCCTACCCCTCAACCCTAAACCCTAAACCCTAAACCCCTAACCCTAAATACTAAACCCTAACCGTATACCCTAAACCTAAACCCTAAACCCTAAACCCTAAACCGTATACCCTAAACCTAAACCCTAAACCCTAAACCGTAAACCCTAAACCCTAACGCCATGCTCGGAGAGAAACCGGAAACTCCCTCAGACTCCCTCTAGGAGTGCTTGGGAGCAGTGTCTTGCACCGCCAGCCCTCAACCCTGAACCCCAAATAGCTCCTTAGGGTTCAGGGTTTAGGGTTCAGGGTTCAGGGTGCAGGGTTCAGGGTTCAGGGTGCAGGGTTCAGGGTTCAGGGTTCAGGGTTCAGGGTTCAGGGTTCAGGGTTCAGGGTTCAGGGTTCAGGGTTCAGAGTTTAGGGCTTAGGGTTTAGGGTTTAGGGTTTAGGGTTTAGGGTTTCGGGTTTCGGGTTTAGGGTTTAGGGTTCTTAAGGGAGGGGGGTTCATGGGGGGTAGGTACCTAGGGAACCTGAGGGAAGCTTAGGGAGCCTTAGGTCCTTGGGTTACATAGCGCCATTGAACCCCCGGCCCCCCCCTTAAGAACCTAGGGGGGTTTAGGGTTTAGGGTTTAGGTAGGGTTTAGGGTTTAGGGTTTGGGGTTTGGGGTTTGGGGTTTAGGGTTTAGGGTTTAGGGTTTAGGGTGTAGGGTTTAGGATTTAGGGTTTGGGGTTTAGGGTTTAGGGTTTAGGGTTTAGGGTTTAGGGTTTAGGGTTTAGGGTTTAGGGTTTAGGGTTTAGGGTTTAGGGTTTAGGGTTTAGGGTTTAGGGTTTAGGGTTTAGGGTTTAGGGTTTAGGGTTTAGGGTTTAGGGTTTAGGGTAGGGTTTAGGGTTTAGGGAGTTTAGGGTTTAGGGTTTAGGGTTTAGGGTTTAGGGTTTAGGGTTTAGGGTTTAGGGTTTAGGGTTTAGGGTTTAGGGTTTAGGGTTTAGGGTTTAGGGTTTAGGGTTTAGGGTTTAGGGGCGACCGGGTCGAAATACAAGCAAACGGGAGAAAACACAACCCAACGGGGGAAAACTGAACCATGTTTGTGGGCTGGCCCGAACGGGAGAAACCACAACTGGCTATTGCGATGCCCTTATACTTTTGGACATGCCCTGCAGAAAAACCATGGTGCATCCTTAAGGTTTCAGGACAAAATCTGGACAATGGTGGTTGTGATTCATCCCTTCTCTTTGCGCCAAAGCACGAACATAGAATATATACAATAGAATACTCATATTATATCTAAGATGATGATACAAAATTCAGCGTGAAATAGAGACATATATGTATATATATATATATGTATATGCTACAGCGAAGTTGTCAATGACTCCTTGTGCATCCCACTTTCAACAGTCGCACTCCCGCAACACAACCAACAACTCAACAAAACCCCTTCAAACCCTTAACCAACAACTCAACAAAACCCCTCCAACCCCTTAACCAACAACTCAACCAAAACCCCTCCAAACCCTTAACCAACAACTCAACAAAACCAACAAAAACCCTTGGCATCCCACTCTAAGACCCTAAAGACCCCCGAGTTGTATTATCACCCATCTGGTTGTATTGTCCCCCATCTAAGCCAAAATCTCCAGATTTCAGTTGTATTTTTCCCATCTGGTTGTATTATCACCCATGTAGTTGTATTTCGCCTTATTTTAGGGTTTAGGGTTTAGGGTTTAGGGGTTTAGGGTTTAGGGTTTAGGGTTTAGGGTTTAGGGTTTAGGGTTTAGGGTTTAGGGTTTAGGGTTTAGGGTTCAGGGTTTAGGGTTTAGGGTTTAGGGTTTAGGGTTTAGGGTTTAGGGTTTAGGGTTTAGGGTTTAGGGTTTAGGGTTTAGGGTTTAGGGTTTAGGGTTTAGGGTTTAGGGTTTAGGGTTTAGGGTTGAACCCTATAACTACACAGCCCCCAAATACCTAAAAGCCCTACTAGATAGCCCGAAAGAACCCTGAGCCCTAGAGTGTCTGGGGGTTAGGGTCTGGGGTTAAGGGTGCCCACCCCCTGTCCTAGGGCAGTCATGGGCAGTCAAAGAGAGTGACTGTAATCCCTATTCAGGAGCTGAACCGAAATCCTCAATCCTAAACCCTCAACCCTGCACCTTAAACCCTAAACATTGGGCTGGTACAAAGGGGGAACATCTCGGGAAAATCTCAACACACAAGAATCAAAAGGCTTGGAAGGCAAAGCCAAAACTTAAATCCGATAAAACCTTCTCACAGGCCCTTCATGGATTGAGTTTTTAGGGCTCAGGGTTTAGGATTTCTTTAGGCTTCGTGAGGGATGTTACTCCACAAGGCCCCCTCACCTCATAGAAGCTGGCAACGCGACACAAAATCCCCCGAGCCCTTTTTTACGAAGCTAAGGCCCTAAGAACCCCTGCAAGATCAGATGAAACCCCCTTGAGCTCTCAAAAAGCCTGGACCTCGAACACCCCCCATTACGTCCCCGACAGTCCCAAGAAACCCCTCCCAGCCTCCAGCACGGCATTGTTCAAGTCGGAGCAAGTGCCCCGCAGGTAGCCCCGGTAGGCCTTGCGCCCCTGGGCGAGGGGCTGTTTACGCGCCTCTAAAAAATTGGGGCTGGCGCTTAAGAAGGGAGTTTCGGGGCTTCTTTAGGGGCTTTTTTGAGGGGCGTGGGGCAATGAGGGTTCTGACAGCGCTGGGGGTCGACGGGCTTAGGGCTGATGAGGGCACTGGCAGTGGCAGGAGTCACATCGAGGCCTTTTCGCGCGAACTTGCAGAAATCGCACGCAAAACTTCGTCAGTCTGCGGTGCCGGAGGCTTGGAGCAATTGGCGTGTGTGCGATCATTTGCACCTGTCCTACCAATTGTGAGGCTGCTTGCTCTCTCGTAAAATCGCTTGGAAGGGGACCTGCTTGGTCCCTTTCGGAGACGTGAAGCTCCGGATTCACAAACCTAAGGGGGCACCCACTTTTACAACCGCCATGCCAGAACTCACATTTAGAACAAAGCTATCTGCGCGGCCGTTGTGGCCGCCGCTGCCAAGCTCGGCGCGCAGATGTCAGGCAGCGTAGTTGGCCCTTGGTAGCTGCCGTAACCTAGCGAAGAGGTGAGGCAGCGTAGGTGTAGTCTCTGTCGCTGGCCCAGTCATCCCAGGCGATTCCGGTCAGGCCGTCCTATGACCCGGACATCACATTCACAAGACACGCATGCTGTGTCCAAATGTTGATTTGCATGCTTGCAAGCAAAAAAATCACACGAAGTCATCACAACCACACGCACATGTGAAAACCCCGCCTGAAAGAACATGCATCGCAAGTCTGCCAGCTCCATTGAGAGCTTCCTAGCCGTGTCGCTGGAGGTCTGGGCATCTACGGCGCATCCTACATCTCATACACTCTCAGGCCCCCAGAAAGGAGAAGAAGGGCACTACCGGGAATCCCAGTCTCCAACGCTCGGAGTGGAGAGGCAGTGTACTTGGCCCAGTCATCCCAGGCGCTTCCGTTGAGCCAGCCGGGTGCCGAAATCCGACAGGGTCCGGAAGACCAAGCCCGCTCCTCGGATCCCAAGCCAGCGGCCATCTGAAACTGAGGCAAACGAACCCTCTGACGGTATCTGCCTCATTGTTTCCAAACTGGAACTTCAAACAGAAATGCGGAAGTCCAAGCGTTCCGCCCTCAACATCCCTCAACCGACAGCCCACAGAGCTAAACGCAGCCCTAAACACCGAGCCCCTAACTTCTAAACTCTTCAACCTCCCCAAACCTCCGAACCCTCCACCCCAACTCTTCAAGCCCCAAAGCCCCCCGAAAGCCCTCTCAAAAAGCCCCCCAAAACCTAAAGCCAAGTTCTGACAACTGCTGCACCCGAGCAGCTCGGAAGCATGGAGTCTCGCCGGCTGGGTCTCGCTCGAGGAGCCCTGCGCAGGGCTTGAGCATGTGCGGGCACACAGAACTTCAAAGTCTATTCCAAGTCAACCCCAGAAGGCTAACTAGACTAGAGAGGTCCTTAAGACGCCAAAGCCACCTGAACCCTAGAGAAGCCGAAGCCGCCTCAACCCCTTCAGGGCTTTTTCTGGGCTTCGGGGGTTTGTGCCGCAAAACTTTCTCGCCTGGCTTCGGAAAGCCCCGGCCGTACGACGGCGGCGGTTGGGGAAGGAACGACGTAGGCGAGGTGCCTGCATGCAGCAGCTCACGTACATGCCGAGTGTGCACCACCCGCAAAGAGCCACAGAGCCACAGAGCCCTGGGCGCCGGGCCAGACATTGCGAGAATGTACAAGTCTGAATTAAGGGGAAAACTAAAGGCCAGGCCACGCCTGCAGAAAGGCAGAAAGTCTTGAGCCCGCAGCAGCAGAAACGTGCCTTCCATGTGCACAGATTTGCTGGGTGAAGATGTGCAGCGCTGCCCATGCCTACAGTAGACAGCCAGGCAAGCGCCAGTGATTTTTTGGAGCTTTTCCGACGTTTGCAGCGGAATTGCACAAAACTTTGTCGGGCTGCGGGACCCCACGTGTCGGAGGCCGGGAGCTCTTGGCGTGTGCGATCATGCACGCAATACGCGGGGGAAGGGGACGGTGGCGTCTCTGAGGCTTTGAAGAAGCGAGCACACCAAAACATGTCAAGAGGTTGAAGCTTAGCGTCCATCCTTCGAAACAACCTCGTCAGAATGTTCATGAGGCTAGCACGGTGACTTGTTCGCCCACGCCAAAGAGTATGAGAACGTGGCTTGGGGGCTTGAGGATAGCCGCTAAAGCGCCCACGGAACCGGAAGCCACGCAACAAAACTCACAACACTAAAAGAAGCCCATCAGGGCAGGGATTTACAATTCTTTACAGATTGACAAAGAATTTGCTGTCAGCGCCCTACGCAAGGCCGAACTGCTCGATGGCATCCTTGCCGGTGTAGACGTTGGCGGCGATGATACCGATGGCTGCGAACATGGCCATTCGGCCGTTGTTGATCTCCCGGTTGCGCATCTCCAGCGTGTACTGGCCCAGGCCGGCGGGGTCACCGAAGTTGCCCGGCTCCTTCGAGGGGTCCTCAGTCCAGGCGCCCAGCTCCAGCAAGCCCGAGACCGCGAAGAGCGCGGCGAAGCCGTAGGTGCCCGGCGGGACCTCCACAGCGCCGAGTCCGGCAGGCACGCTGTCGAAGCCAGGGAACTTCACGTAGTGCTGCACGACGGCACCCACTGCGGCCATCATCGCAACCCTGCCATGCTTGATCTCGGCCGCGCGCAGGTTGCGGAAGCCGGCCTTGTCACCCTTCTTGCAGAAGCCGGCCGGGTCGAAGTAGCCGAAGGGCTCGGTGACGCCCACCTCATTCGCCGGGTCGAAAGTCGGCTCAGGGGGCACCTCCTCGCCCTCACCGCTCAGGGACTTGCCAGTGCCGGCACCGATGCCCGTGGTGGCCGCTGCTGTCTTCGCTCCTGCGCTCGCGCCTGCCTTGGCCGCGGCAGCTTTGGCTGCAGCCGCTGCCGCGGCGGCAGAGACAGGCTCGGCGCGCAAAGGCGAAGCAGTGTAATTGGCCCAGTCACCCCAGGCGCTTCCGGTCAGGCCGTCCTACGACCCAAGCATCACACAAACGGCGCATTCTCTACTTGAATGATGACTTGCATTCTTTCAACAACTCACATGAAGTCTTGAACTCACACGAAGACAATGAAGTCACAACGGCACACGCGCGTGATACTCCCGCCTGAAAGAACATGCCGATGATGGCCATCATCGCAAGTCTGCCGTTCGCCAGCTCCGCTGAGAGCTTTTTAGTCTTCTCAGCCGGGTCGCTGGAGGTCAAGACCTTGAAGCCAAAGTCGCCTGCTGCAGCCGCCGTGCCGGCCGACTGATCCTGGGAAACCTCGCAGAACGCCATGTAGGCAAGGATCTGACCCCAACCTGCGGCGGGAACTTTGGAGATCGCAGCAAGACCGTTTGGCACGTCCGCGAATTTCAAGCCGGCCGATGGGCTCAAGTATCCAGGGAACTTGCCAGTGATCCTCAGCACTTCTACAGATGAAAAGTGCATAACGAGAAGCCAAGAAGCTGTGTAAAACACAAAATTTTGTTGATCGTAGCATCGCGAAATGAAGTAGCACACGGTAGCACTGAGAACTACAGCAACTACAGCAAACGAGAACCCCGCCGCGCGATGCCATGACGAATGTCAACAGCCCAAATCTTCGTCGCAAGCGATGCAAGCGAAAACAAAAAAAATTATGCCGGCGAAGACCCCAAACAGTAAGATTGTAGATCAAGGGAAAGCGGCATGAAACAATAACGCGACGCGTAGAACTCGGCAGGCCGAGTTTACAATCAGAAAAACTGGGCTCAGTTTGGAGGCGTGGGTTTCAGGCTTCTCTTTGGAGCTGCCAGGGGTCGGAACAACCCTTTCCCAATCCAAACGAGGGATTGACATGGATGTCCAAGCGCTGCCCACATGCATTTTGCCAGGCCTGAAAAATGCATTTGGTCTTTCTTTCTACATTTGCAACGCCATGCTCTCTCTTTCTGTACTTTTTCAAAGGCGAAAACAGCTGAGTGCATTTAGGCACGCGCGAAAAACGCAGTTGCGCATTCGTCTCTTCTGTACGCAGCTTGTCTTTACGACAAAGGATCAGCTCTTAACTCAATTCTATTGTGGTTGTGGAAGGAGCAAGCTACGCGAATGCACCTGAGCCTGATTCTGGGTCTGTTTCGGTACTCCTGCAAAATGCCGAACATTGTTCTAAACGCATTTTTCACCTGTTAAACCTTTTGCCTACGATTTTTTGGGTCGGAGTAGAAAAACCTGGTTTCTCTTGGCTTTCAAAGAATTTCTGGGAAATTCTAGAAATCTGGGTTATCTGGATTTTTGCCCGTAATTTAACCGTAATTTGCCTATAAAATCCCGTAATTTGCCCGTAATTTGACGTAACCCAAAAGTAACCTGTTTTTTTTTAAATTTCCTGGTTTTTTTCGGCCACCCAAAAAACGGCAGGCAAAGGAAGCTACAAGCAATTCCTATAGCTACTTTTATGCACAGAAAACACATCAGAAGAATCGAACACGTCATGAGCCAGCAGAAACCAAGACTAAGTATGATAGGAAACCAGTGCCAAATGCATTTTTGGGGCGACGACAAATGCATTTGGAATGCCCTAGAAATGCATGTCGGGTAGATGTTGGTCGTAAAACACCAACCTACTTTTTTGTTTTGTTTTCGTTTTTTTCCATGCTGTAATGGAGCAAAGATAACCCATTAGACATGGATGACCAGACGCTGCCGGATGCATTTTGCCAGGCCTGAAAAACGCATGTGGTCTTGCTTTCCACATGTGCAACGCCGCGCGCTCTTTCTGCACTTTTTCAAAGAGAAAACAGCTGAATGCATTTGGGCACGGGCGAAAAATGCATTCGGACTTTGGTTTCTTCCGTACGGGGCCTCTGTCTTTGACACAAAAGTCAGTTCTCAAGTGTGTTTGTTATTGTGGTTTTGGAAGGAGCAAGCTGCGCGAATGCATTTTGCCTGCTTTGCAAAATGCATCTGGGCATGTTGCTTCTGATTTTGGGCCCCTTTTCGGGAATTTTGCAAAACGGTGATTGTGGTTCTAAACACGTTCAAATCCTATATATATATAGTTCTTATGCGCAGAAAGACATCAAATTTCGAAGAAGTCATGAGCCGGCAGAACCCAAGATTGCAACATGATAGGAAACCAGTGCCAAATGCGTTTTTCGGGCGACGAAAAATGCATGTGGAATGCCCTCAGATGCATGTCGGGGAAATGTTGGTCGTAAAACACCAACCGACTTCTTTGTTTTGTGATGTTTTGTGTTTGCTTGTTTTCATGCTGTAATGGAACAAGACAACCCGATAGACATGGCTGTCCAAGCGCTGCCCGAATGCATTTTGCCAGGCCTAAAAAAAGCATTTGGTCTTGCTTTCCACATTTGCAACGCCGTGCTCTCTTTGTGCACTTTTTAGAAGGCGAAAACAGCTGAATGCATTAAAGCGCGGGCGAGAAATGCATTCAGACAGAGGCTTCTTCTGTACGCAGCCTCTGTCTTTACGACAAAAGATCAGCTTTTGACTCATGTCGATTGTGGGTTGTGGAAGGAGCAAGCTGCGCGAATGCATTTTGCCCACTTAAAAAATGCACCTGAGCATGTTCTTCCTGATTCTGGGTCTGTTTCGGTACTCCTGCAAGATGCCGAACATTGTTCTAAGCGCGTTTTCAACTCCTATAGCTACTTTTATGCACAGAAAACACATCAGAAGAATCGAACACGTCATGAGCCAGCAGAAACCAAGACTAAGTATGATAGGAAACCAGTGCCAAATGCATTCTTCGGGCGACGAAAAATGCATTTGGAATGCCCTAGAAATGCATGTCGGGTAGATGTTGGTCGTAAAACACCAACCTACCTTTCTTGTTTTGTTTTCGTTTTTTTTCCATGCTGTAATGGAGCAAAGATAACCCATTAGACATGGATGACCAGACGCTGCCGAATGCATTTTGCCAGGCCTGAAAAACGCATGTGGTCTTGCTTTCCACATGTGCAACGCCGCGCGCTCTTTCTGCACTTTTTCAAAGAGAAAACAGCTGAATGCATTTGGGCACGGGCGAAAAATGCATTCGGACTTTGGTTTCTTCCGTACGGGGCCTCTGTCTTTGACACAAAAGTCAGTTCTCAAGTGTGTTTGTTATTGTGGTTTTGGAAGGAGCAAGCTGCGCGAATGCATTTTGCCTGCTTTGCAAAATGCATCTGGGCATGTTGCTTCTGATTTTGGGCCCCTTTTCGGGAATTTTGCAAAACGGTGATTGTGGTTCTAAACGCGTTCAAATCCTATATATATGTTCTTATGCGCAGAAAGACATCAAATTTCGAAGAAGTCATGAGCCGGCAGAACCCAAGATTGCAACATGATAGGAAACCAGTGACAAATGCGTTTTCCGGGCGACGAAAAATGCATGTGGAATGCCCTCAGATGCATGTCGGGGAAATGTTGGTCGTAAAACACCAACCGACTTCTTTGTTTTGTGATGTTTTGTGTTTGCTTGTTTTCATGCTGTAATGGAACAAGACAACCCGATAGACATGGCTGTCCAAGCGCTGCCCGAATGCATTTTGCCAGGCCTAAAAAAAGCATTTGGTCTTGCTTTCCACATTTGCAACGCCGTGCTCTCTTTGTGCACTTTTTAGAAGGCGAAAACAGCTGAATGCATTAAAGCGCGGGCGAGAAATGCATTCAGACGGAGGCTTCTTCTGTACGCAGCCTCTGTCTTTACGACAAAAGATCAGCTTTTGACTCATGTCGATTGTGGGTTGTGGAAGGAGCAAGCTGCGCGAATGCATTTTGCCCACTTAAAAAATGCACCTGAGCATGTTCTTCCTGATTCTGGGTCCACCCTGCCTCCGCCCCTCTCAACCCCTGTCGCTCATGATCGGAGACCATGCCACGTCACACCCCATTCACTCATAATCAAAGACCATCGGAGACCACGGACCCAAGCGCGTGACACCCCCGCAATCCCTGTCGCTCGCCACGGGACCCTCCAAAACGGGGCGGGGAGCTAAGGGGTGCTCACGAGAGCGCCGCGATGGGCTGAGCTTCGAATGCCCCACAAAACAACCAGCGCCAACACTAGGAATTTATCGCAAATAAAAGAGCGTAACCCCTCTGGGATAGGGCACTCCAGGGACTGCCTGGTTGCTCTGGTTGCTCTGCCATGGACTCTCTGAGGATACTCTTCAGGGACGCTCTGGGGATACTCTGAGGTTGGACTCCAGGGACTCTGGGGATACTTTGGGGTCGAATACGTGCGATGGGCCAGGAGATGACCGGGCGAGGAGAAGAGTTTAGTTTAATTCTATCCCCACACCGAGGGTGGGGGAAAATGAGACGGACCAACCAACCACAGCAGAACAGAAGGAAAATCAGTCTAAATTCTAAGCCGCAAGGCACAGTTGTATCATGAAAAGCCTCTAAACCCTAAACCTTGGAGTTTGCAGCCTACTGTACCTTCCAACCTGATTTGTCCCTCATGTGGTTCCCATTCTAGTTATGATTTTGTTCTAATATTTTCATTTTGCTTCGTTTCTCATTGTTATTTGATTCTTCTTGTCAACCCTGGGATGCGCATGTCATGTTAATTTCGCTTTTCTCGTTTGTGCTTTTTTTGAGTTTTGTAGAGTTAACAGACGGTGAATCTTAAGGCTAAGGG